GTAGGAAAAGCTGCATCTTATATCTTTCAAACTATGCAGAAGGCACTTGTGGTGTCCTCAGGTGACTTTATATGGCTGACCAACAAAAAAATAAAAATGCTGTTTGATAGGTCAGATAGATACAACTCGACATGCACTTGGTACCCTCAATTGCCTTGATGATCTTCATATTCCACATTTCCTATGAGAGCAGATATTTCTTACTTTAGAAAAAGCTAATTTGTTTTCTAAGGCAGGGAATTTTCTACAGATGAAGCTGATTTTCTGGTTTACACTATTACAGATTTTTAGTAGAGTGCCTAAAATGCATAGAATAAGGATATTTGTCAGGTGTTATTTCTAAAGGCATCTGATACGTGAAGGCATTTTTAGCTGTCATTTTATGCAAAACATCTCTTCACTGTGGTATGTTGAATTTACTCTTATCTGTCTTCAGAGATTGTTTGTGTTCATTTCCCAGCATAGATAAATACCCAGTTAAATGGAGAGCTTGATGAATGGTTTGCCTGGTTTCTGTGGCTTATTAATGTCAAAGTCCAATACTCTCTGACCAGCTTCTTTGGTTTTTTTAGATTCTACGCATGAAGGCTGTAATGTTTAATATCAAATTTACCTATTTGAGGACAGTTGATGTTACATGGGATTTCTGATTTAGCAGTTATACAAAATATACTGACAGCACACTACATATGCAGATTATACTTAGCAAAACAGAGGAATCACAGTATGCAGCTCAGTCACAGTGCCAGTGCGAGTCCTGTTACCAGTCTGTAGAATATGCTCACTGTCAGGATTCTGTGTGTCCCCAGTCACCAGTAAGGCATACATGGGTGAAGCCAGCTCAAGCCTGTTGCTCTCTTCAAAATTCTTTGGCTAGTTGTTTAGGTTTTGTACTTGATATTGGGGTGGCCTGGCTAACTCAGAGAGACAGTCACACTCTTCTAGTGAACACAAGGTGAATCATCTACATCACTGGTTGATGCCCTCAACTGTAATATAGTCCATGGATCCACTCAGCTGATACAAGTGCTTATGTAAACCAAAGGCCACCCTCCACTCCCCTTTGTGTTGAAATTGTCAGCTGTCTGCAAGAGCTCCTGTCAGTCACCCATGCATTACCTCCTGATCTTGACAGGAATATCACCCTTGCCCATTTCCTTCTTCCATTGTAGGGAGTCAGTCACAATGTCATTTACATTTTGATTTTATGTTATTAAATAGTTTGGTTTATACTTTTAATTTAATAACATTTCATTCTTGTATTTCCCTTATTTTCCCAATATTTAAATGATATAGAAAAATATTTTGAGTATTTTATGGTCTTCTAAAATTATTTACAGAGGGACTATGTCATCTTTTTCTTAAAACTTTCTTTCCTAAGAAAAGTCCAGCCATGTTACTATATAGTGAGAAGCCTAACTATATATCAAAGTGCTATAATCTTTTAAGTCAGCACTGACTAATTTAGGGAACTTTATGCTTATAATGAAAAACAAGGGACACCCAATATTAATTTCTCAACTATGTCATAGCATATATCAATAAATGGAACATACAGTGGGCTTTTTCTGTGACTGCCAATTAAAGAAGTATACTGCAGATATTTACATTACTGTAATGCACAGGATGAGACTCAGGTCCCCCCTGTTTGAGATTAAATGAATTAATACAGGGTTTCAGCAACAGCTTTAAGTACCTCTGCAGAGGTTGTGCCACTGTGTTAAAAAACTGAAAAGAAAGGCAATACAGGCATTTACTATTGCAATAATTTGCAATATTCGATACCAAAGGGAAAACTCAGGCTAAAATGTTTCCCATTTGTCTTTCACAGTGGTATAATTATTAATGTCATTCTAAATGGAGGGAATCCATTAAACTGTCATTGTTGTTGTGTAAATGTAGGTCTTTAATATTTGTTTTTGCAAGAGTTATCATTGCTGCAGTATGTGTAGAAACCTCGTAACTACAAACAGCACAGCAGTCTCTGTTTTCTCACTCCTCCCTACTTTTTGTCTGTGTAAGTGATGCTTAAGATGGTAAAGGGAGAGTATATTGTGTATGATGCAAGCAGAAAGTAACCTACACGTGGCCTTAGAATTTTTCCCTGCTTCCCAAATTGGAGTTATTTGAATATTCTAAGAAACTCTGTCCATCTGTCAGGCCATTATTAGCACTCTCCATGTGAGATTTTTCTACTTCTATCTTTCTGTACTGAAGAAGAGGGGTAGAAAGCTAAAGTGATGTCCACAGTATTTGCTGAGTCCCAGGGAGGAGATGCAAGCACATGCAGGCACCAGGGCTGGGAGAATGAGACAGAAGGTAAGAAGAGAAGCAACTTAGTTATTAAGATTGAAATTTCCTATGTTAGCCATCATTGTTCTGTCCTTTGTAAAAAGCAGAAACTCAGTTTGGTTTTCTGTGAGTGATTGAATTATAAGAGAGATAGGTAGCACGGGAAGATGATCTATCTGCATTCTTGGGAGCTGTCACTGAATATTTGGATGTACTATGATGAGGGCTTCCCCTTTAAGAAAAAATTAAAAAAGGATTGTTTTCCTCTCATTGTATCACATATATTTCTAGGTGTAGTTCTTGTAGACCACTGCACTTTATTAACAGAAGTAGCTCTGCCCTGGATCCTGGTGAGTGTGAAGGGAGAACCGGAGGGTCCTTATTACAAGAACTCCAGTTGTGACTGAATGACGTTTTTCTCCACAATACCTTTATCCTCTCCATCATCTCACTTGAAATTAATTGAATGTTACAAGATTAAGTGGAACTATTATAAGGTGATTTTTTTAAAGTGATGATTTTCTTCTTCCCCTGGGTTATTTATTAATTAGAACATTAATTTTAAAAAACGCTTATGTTTAATTAAACAATTCCATGTTTCAATGATTTATAAATGTTAATTAGCACACTTTTAACTTTTCACTCATGATAGCCACATTAATCCTTAATATCAAAATGTAAAGGAGATAATAAATCTGTGATAAAACAGATTATCAGCAACTTCACTCTGTATGACAGCAGAGGACTACCCAGTCACATGAAGCTGTACAAAGCATTCAACATCATCAACAATCAGCAACTAAAAGACTCTGGGGGATAACCAGGTTAAATAGCAGCGGACAGATCCATGTCAGCAACATGCCAGTTTGATTTATGGTAATGCAAGTGGCATCAAGTAATCATCCATGCCATGCAAATGGTAGTGACTGTTCAGTGCCCTGTGGTACTCAGCTGAGTGTGGAAGCCTTTGCATCCATGCAGAGTGGGCACAGGTCTCTGTGGTGCTCACCGTGTGGCTAAACAGAGCAACAGTAAATCAGGATCCTGGTACTAAAGGAGGGCACCTGTGTTCATGCATGGGATGAGGGTGGAGGGAAGGCAAAGGAGGGATGGAAGGAAGAGCAAACAATGTATTTATTAAAAGGATAGGGATTATAAGATAACAGCTGTTATCAACCATCCATAGTGCAGTTTATCACATAAAGAACCTGATGCATTGACAGGAAGAAAGTTATGTGTGGTTTGGAAGTTAATGTTTAGTTTTTATGAAAATTAAACATACAAAGTTTTTGTTTCAAGGCCTCCTCAAACTCCTCCTATCCCACTCCTAAAACACTGCATCAAATATAAAATTTTAATATTTAAATAAATAGATTTTATTCTTATACCTCTCCCTACCCCCTTTTTCGTTTTTATGGATAATAATAAAAGTTTTGCTAAATCCCTCAAAAAAAATCTGCAGGCTGAAAGTTCAGGAGTCATTTTTGTTCTAACACATTAGTCCAATTCTGAGACTTTAAAAGCCTTTGGAGAACTGCAGAACTAAATCGATATAAAATAAGGGGGACATTGAAGAATGCTGCTTGGGGGAATATGGCCTATCTGCTAGTGGCTGGATTACAGAGTGGACAGCACCCACTCTGCCACCATTCATGGCAATGAAACCAGTAGAAAATCAGTAGCAATTCTTACTTCTTTACAGTGAAACCCTGGTGAATTCATAGCTGTTATTTTTTTTAATTTCCTTATGAGCTCCCTTTCCTCTCTTCCTTTTCTCTTTTCTAAACTGTGAGCCTCTTCTTGAACAACTCACCAGCTTTCAATGTTCCTTTCAGATCACACATCATCCTCTTCCCTTTCAGCTGCCTGTACCGTTGTTTTCTGGCTACTCAGAAATCTTTCCCTGCCTGTATTTTTACTTTTATATTTTACTTTTATGCCTCTCCCAGTACATCTTCCTCACTTTTCAGATTTCTGTGCTATTCCTTTTTCACATTTTTCGGTTCGGCATTATTAATCACTGGTGGGATCACTCAATCAACTGGTAAAAACTGAGAAGTTATGACTTAGTTAGCAAATAGCACTGTAAGTTTACTATATTCTCCCCACGCCTGCTGTCTCAGTTTGTAATTTCCTCAAATGTACTCATTCAAAGTTACTGAAGGAATAGTTGGAGCAACAGCTAGTATTATCATTGTTCGTTTGAAATTCATGTTGTATCACTTAGTTCGAAGGCTGCTTGTGTCACGTGGTGTCATTGCTCCTATCTGATTAAATTAATTGTATTCTTATAACTTGACCCTGACATCTTTCATTATCTGAGAGAAGCTTACTCTCCATTTGAAAGAGGATTTAAACAGCACTTCTCTGCAGAGGGTGAATTTTGACTTTCAGTATGTTGGAGGATTAAATAAACCAAAACCAAATCCACTTTATAAACACTCATGTAAACGTCTTCTTTTTTTTTATTCCATGCTGTGATCTATTGCTTTCATGCTGCCTTTTGCTTTATTGATAAACCATAATGATTAGTGAATTCAATCCTATGCTTACTCAGGTGAGAAAGCAACTAAAGAAAGCAGTGTCTGAAATCTCATTTTAACCTTATAAGAGTCAGGAGAAGAAAGTTCCTGTCTGTCAAGGGCTGTGTAGATTCTCTTGATTAAATTCCTCACTCAGATTCCCAATCATATTTCTTTATCTTCCAGGTGAGCCTAAACACTGTAAGAAGTCAGAAGATATATTAAAAGCCACTGAGCAGAAAGAAGCACTGATAGAGAACTAGATTTGCCTTTTCATAAAAGCTTCTGACATTTCAGACAGGACAGGTAATTTTGTCATTTCTTTCTTACAATGGGGAGAATTTTACACTGTAAAGACTTTCTTAGTGCTGTTATTATCCTCTTTGTTCTAGTTGTGGCTTTATTACAAGATTTTTAAATGGGGACATGATACACCCACTTTGTATGTCCCCTTCAAAGCCATTCAATATAAAGAAGGGAAGAACAATACTTTTACATCCTGGAATCCTTAATTGTCAGACTAAATGATCATGCAATAAAACATCCTCAATTCATGTATATTAAGTACTGGAAGTAGTAGTATTAAAAATCTGTTGTTCTTGAATTTTCATTTGACCTCTGTTGCAGGAGAAAAGAGCTCCTACCCTGTGCTCTCAGAGGCTGTTATCTGTCAACTTCTTCTTGGATCATTCTGTTTCTGTGGAGAGTGATTGGACAAAGTGATCAAGAGTGTAAAATGTAAAACCCTGAGCTGGCAACTCAAGCCACTTAACAACTCACAAGATTTCAGTTCTATCTGTTGTTGCTATTTCCTCTTCTATACTGCTTTCTTAAACTAGCCAAAATAATTCTGCCAAAGTTGGACATCGCTTTATCGCATCACTGACACCAGACATTTCCAGTTAACCATGAGATATGTGAAAACACGACATTTATCATCTGCCTGGGACAGCTGTTACATGTCACTGCTACTGGCATCCAATGGAATTGGGAAGTCAAAATGAAACATTATTACAGATACTTGTTCATGCAACCATGCTGCATGCAACATAAAAGTCCTACTTGTTAAGCTTCCTTAACATATCTGGAAATAAAAAGATGTGGACTGCACGGGGAAGTTGTGGAGTTACCCTGACCAGCCTGCATGGCTGACATATGGAGATAACTGGTGTTTAACAAATCAGTATTTGAAATATCTCTTTAAAATTAATTCAATAGCATCCAATATTAAAAATTCAAACATTCTCAGCCCTACAGTATTTTGGAAGACATCAGCAATGGTGTCAGCCCTACCATGAAGTTGGTGCTTATTGTTTTGTAGGGCGAAAGAGACAATGACAAACATGAAAATATATGTCATGTGAAATTTTGCTTCAGTTCAGCAAAATACTGTGTTGCCTCTCAGGCAGAAACTGTAAGGTGACTCTGAGGCCTTATAGCACAGTTTGTCTCAAATGCAGCGTGGATCCTGCAAAATCTTTGCTAGTGTTTGTCTCACTAAAAGAAAACACCAGGCCAACTTTCTCTGAGAGGCAGTGAAAGCAGAGCACGCAGGCAGTTACCTCTGCAAGAAGCCTCAGAATGAGCCCTCCAGCCCAAACTGTGTCCAGAAAGAGATAACTTTCATCTCCGCTTCCCTCAAGCTACATGTGACCCTTCCTGGCTTGCCTGGGCATCCCATGCAGCTGCAGACAACCTCATTTCCCTCTGCTGGAACCTGCCAGGAAACTTGCACACTCCCCTTCACGTTGTAGGCGCTCAGGAGGCTTGGGTCACTGCACTCACAGTTCTCCCTTTCGGACCTTGTGGTTATTACCTCACTGACCGAAAATGTCTTTGCTATCAGCCATGGTCCATTCTGAAGAGGACTCGTGGGGGTGGTGGCACTCCTCTCTGTGCAGAGGCTGATGAAGGATTGAGACCTATGTGCTATTCATCTACTGCTTCAGGGATCTTACCAGAGCTCAACAGGCATCAGGCTCAACCTCAACAAGGGCACGCTTTGTCCCGATCAAAGAAGGAATTGTAAAACTGTCACCCTAGACTGAGGGATCCTTACGCATCCATACCTGGTGACTGTCAGTTTTTTGACAGTGGAGCAATCAAAATTGAGCTGTGGACAGTGCAAGCTCTGAGCCCCGCGGTAAGGGCATGCCAAAAGGTGGAATTCCTGTCATTGAATATGTAAGCCATATACACACTATGTATAAGTAGTGTGCATAGTTTTAACTTAAGAAATGGTTGTGCATATAGGATGTAAAAAATGCATTTAAATTGTTTTGTGTATCTGGTCCAGGGCTTGTATTTAGCATGGACAAATTTCTGTACAGTGCAGTTAACGAATGAAATGTTAACAAATGAAATTGTATCATATATGTTATAATGCAATCAATATTTTTTGCTAAGAGTTAAGAATTTATATATTCTCTGCTAGTGTTTGAGCAAATCATTAGTAGCCTGGACCACTCCGTGCACCTTTGCATCCTTTTGGGGAATGTTGGACTCTTTTTTTTTTTCCCTTTACATTAAAATGTAAACCATCTTATGGCTTCTTCTTGTCACTATGACAAGAGAAGAAACATAATGGTGATAGCAGACTTCTTTTTAATTGTAAATTGCCATATGCTGTGGCAGTGGAAATCTTCTCATTTAAGATCTGAGAATCTGGGACCATATTTCAGGTACGTTGAGCATCTGCAGTTCCCACCAAATTTGAAAAGAACAAAAGATGACTATATCTTTAAAAACCAGTCCAGTTGGGTATCTGTTACAAGGTGTTCTTTAACACTGTAATTTAATGTTCACTGAGACTGCAGGTCTGGAGCAATCAGAATTTAACATTTTTATAGTATTTTAAATTTCAGACTTTTACCGTAGCTGAACTTGACTTCTTTTTCTGTGTCTCTGTCCCATCATGATTTATATACTCTGCAAGAATTTTCTTCCGGAAATACAAGCAGAATTTATAACAGATTCTGCAGCGTACTTGGAGCATCCTGTGGGGCCTTCAGTGTCCTGTTATCATAACTGTCACCAAGATGTCCCACTGCAGAAACTAGGAGCTCCTGATCTCACAGGAGGTACTCATTGCCTGCAGAACTCATTCATTAATATAGAAATGTGATTTGTGTATAAATAATCCTATTTGCTCATTTGTATTCAGTTTTAATCACTGTGGTAGATGTTGCTGAAATACAAGAAGAAAAGTCCTTAGTTTTTCTTTAATGCCAGCTGATTCTCTTTCTTTCTTCCTTTATTCTTAGCAAGACTTTACCTGGACATGATCCAAAGCTTAGCATGTTGTTTGGATGAGGAGGAATTTTCTCTGGTGGAGAAGGCTGATATAGTCAACATGTGTTAATTAAGGCTTTGGCCTTGGGTGAAATTCACGTTCAGGTGTCAGAGAGGCTTCTTGAGGAGGGCCTCTCCCTGAACAATAGTTTATCTTTGAAGTCTGTAAGGCTGCGCTACCAAAACACTGCATGGGGCCATAAAAAATGGTGTTTGTATATGCATCTCTCCCACAGCATTATGGGCATGTACCCCTGCATTGAGCACACTGAGGAGCTGTAGCTATAGATTAGCCCTCAATAGTCTTATTTTGTATTTTTATCTTGAGATATCTGACAGATATATGTAATATTGTTATGGGTTATGATCTGACAGTATTTTTTTATTTAATTTTCAACAAGGCAATCTAAAACTGTGTGTTTTTATTCTGCTGTATTTGTCCGTATTTCTTATGACGATATTCCCAAATAAATATGATTTGAGGGCAAGGATCGTGAAGCTCCTGAGTGTTAGTTACAAATCTGCTTTCCTGAAGCATGTTTGCTCATTTGCGTATAGTTGTCCTTGAAAAGTAACAGAGCATCAATGGTTGTTTCCAACCCTTTCACCCGCTTATGACTCTACACTTCCTCCATAACAGTGTCAGTTTGCTGTGCAAGCTCACTCGCATCCTCATAATTTCTTTAAGCAAGTCTTAAAGAAACTATTAAATTCTTTTAAGCGAGTCTTGCCTTCTTAGCCTTCACTGCTAAAATAGCCCTCCATAACCAATAGAACACTTTTTTACCCCAAGAAATGCTTACTGTGGGTTGGTATTGATGGAGTTACTGGGACTGTTCATGTTAGCAACAATTCTTCAGGAAGGGCACAACTTGCATGGTACAGTGCAAGTCCAAGTTCAGTGGAGCAGGGAGTAAATGGGGTCATTCCTACTCAGATTGGAAATGAGTGGAAAGAATCCTATTAACCTAGACATGTATCAAAACAAGTTTATGGTACATGATGGAAATAAATCAAGACGCCTACTTTATATCACATTCTCTGCAGTTCCTTTTTCCCAGATGCTATCCCAGCCACATGAGCGAAGGACCTTCTTCTGTTGTAGAGATGCCAGAAGTCAAACAAACCACTACTGTGACTGAACTAACTTCAAATTAATAAATAAATCAAGATCCCCAGTGGTAAGTGTCTAAAATGTACATTTTTTTAGCAGAACATTGCATTACTTAACAGCTATTACATGAGGAAGAGCGCAGTGTAAGTACAATTAACATTCTTCAACAGCAACTTAAAGAAATCTGAATTTACAGTAGCTCAGGACAAAAGTTTGAGAGGAGAGTGCATCCACTTTTAAATCATTCTTTGAAAAATAGCATCCTTGAAAATCAGTATGGAAAAAATGAGTGGAAGTGGCATTTAATACTATGAGGAAAAGAAAGTGTCCTGTGTCAAACACACTATGCAAACATTTAGGCCACTTTCCTGGGATAATTTTACTTTTCTGGTCACTTAATTACTTACTGCTTCTCCAGAGACCCCTTTTCCATGTCCCAGGGCAAACACTCAGAAGTTTTATCAGACTGTGAATGTCTAAATAGTCCCCTGGGAACAAAGAAGCAAGTAATATCCACAAAGCTATAAATGTGAAAAATCTCTTATAAAAACTGAGAGTTTAACTGGTTTGGGCTGAATTGTACTGCAAAATACTTCCCATGTGCTTAGGCAAGTGTTGGAGAACTTTCCATTAGCTGGGCTTGGATAGATAATATCTTAATCAAATATATTTTTCTGACAAATTACGTAATGCATGAACTTTAAAGCTGAAGAGTTTTATGCATTTGCGACATCCTGTATTGATCATTCTTACAAACCTAAAATAAGATAAAATTATAAATAAATAAGGTGGTCAAAAATCAAAATGGTAAGTACAATCAGGGCTTTGAGCTGGAATACAGGCAGAATAGATGTTTTT